TCTTATTACAATCTGAGATTTTTTTATCAGCCAACTCATTAAGTGATAAATGTAATTGTCACTATTTAAAAAATATTGCAGACATGGAATATGGAAGAAAGGATTTTTAAAAAAAATCAGGGATTGCTGCTCCTTGCTATCAGTACATTTGAATGTAAAGGAACCTTCACAAACGCATATGTTCACAAATTTTAAGAAGGTAGGGGTGCACCCCATTTTAACATTGGAAGCCCACAAGGATGTTGTGCACATGCGCGGTGTGTGCAATCCACGGGAGTGCGAGAGGTAGCGAAGGCAGTCCTAATGGCGGAGAATGTACGGTCGCCTTTTGACTACCGGGAGCCACCGACCCTCGACAGCGACGGKGATGGGAGCAAGCCGCCGCCGCCACGGGGGTGAGTGAGCACGGCGAGCTCCCGGTTTTAAGTCGCCCGCCGGTGTTCTCACCAGGGGCATTTGTGCCAGAGCCCCCCGCAGACGCACGCGCTTTGAGTGCGCGCACGTCTGTGTAGTTAGAAGCCTAGTGGGTTCGCGTGCGTGATTTACGACGTTTATGTTGTAAAATATCAGAAAAGCGAGGGTGGGTTTTGTTTTGTTGCTGCTTGCAGGCGGCGGAGATTGTCGGGTCTCGCCTTCAGCAGCCAACCCGCTCTGCACTTGAAAGACCAGCCTTTTATTTTTGATGTTTTGATGTCGGAGAAGACCCAGCTAGCTGCTGAAAGCTAACAAGCTAGCTACATTAGCATTGAATGTTAGCACGAACCACGTAGAAATTGTGTGCCGTTTTAAACTCAGCTGTCCGTGGCAGATAAACCCACCATATCAGAGCTTTCAGAACCAGAATTCTTCAACTTGATACCCTTTACTATTATTCGGCTGTCGTCACTTGACTGATTTGACTCTTATTCAGCACCTAGTAAACAAAGTTGCTGACCACCACTAAAAATGCCTCTGACAACAGACAGTTGTCTGTCACCAGGTTCAGTGAATATGAACTGTATTGTTGGCCTAATCAGTCTTTTGTAATTGCATCAACACGGTCTAGGTGACTAAATGAAGGACTGGGGCCACTATTGATGTTATGTTTGAAAATCACAACCATTAGTTGCTATTTCCTTTCACGTCTCTGCTGTTTGACGTCTGGGAAATAAATAACCCATTCAGCCAAACTGAAATAATGGAAACATCAGCTACATGAAGCTACAAGTAATACATTTGCAAAACCAAGCCCATTCAAATGAGTTTATTGTTAATACATGTTAGTTACAGATTAAATGGTTTATGTTAAAAAAATTAACTTCGTGTATACTGTAGAGCTAAAGCATTAAAATTGTAATTGTCAAATTCAAAAATGATATTTTCTTAAGATTAATAATTCATTGTAATTCCTGCAGTTACAAACTCTAAATGAAGGCTTAGCATTCCTTGAAGGAATGTAATATCAGAGGTCAGAATATCAAACCAACATCATGTTTCRTTGAGMAATACGGTAACACAGTTKTAGCCATTTTAGTCAAACCTTGAAGGTGTTTGACACAATCTCATGCTCTGAGTACATGTTGTAAATGACTCTTAGTTCAATCAAATTTTACCTCTATCTATAAACCTGACTGAATTGGTGCCATTTATGTGCATGCTATGGGTGATTAGTTGTGGTGGCCACCTTGAATCTTCTACACTCCAAAAGTTAATCAATGGTAGATGGYTATTAGTTGATCATTTCCTGAAATTTCCATTAGATTCTAGCCAGTGGTTCATGAGATATTTTGTTAACAGACAAAACACATTGGCAACAACAGATTTACCCTTTTTCTTTCGGTGGCGGGTGATAATTAAGGAGTTCATRTCTTCATAAAGGCTGCATCACCAAAGTAAAAGAACACAAATGGCRTCTGTTTGGTTTTATCTTGTCTGCAGAAATCGAGTTTTGAGCACCTCTTTGTATAACTATGTCAGTGTGCTAAACAMTGGCTTTTTGTTTTTCTAGCCGCGTGTGTGGGAGAAAAAGGAAGGGGACACCTGTGAAGGTGTGCGATCGAGCGTATGTAACAGAAGATGAGGAGGAGGAGAGCATGTCGGAGCACAGCTACAGCCCTGGTATTTATACACAAACACATTTTAACACCTAATATTTGATGTGTTTATTCGCCACAGAACAGCCTACTATTTCCCACACATTAGAGCTGTTGTTGGCGATAAGGAAATAAAAAAAATAATAATAATAATAACGACTTTTTGCAGGTGATGGCCAGTACCCAGAAGGTGCAGAAGACCGCCTCCCTCCACCCGGGAGCCCCTACTACCTACCTGATCCCACTCAGCTCTGGTAAGAAAAGACCCTCTCCGGTTAATTCCTCCTCGGCTGGAGGAGAACCACTGTGATGATCTTGTCTCGTCTTCTTCCAGCGTTCCCGAGCTCGGGGAGGAAGGGGCCAGCGGCGTCCGAGGACCCGTGCTTTTCCACCCGCCTCCTAACTGCCGCATCCGAGAAGTCCACTGTGGGACGCAGGTGCGCTTGGTTGTCATAGCCATTCGGGACATCGCGAAAGGGGAGGAGATCACGGTGGACTACAGCCTGACGGATTGGGGAGAGAATGCATTGGTGAGCTACCAACTTCATGGTGCATTGGGGCTGCAGGATATCAGGAAAACCTGTGGTGTGTGATAACAGTGCTTAATGTGATGACGACATGACTTGTGATAAATGAACAAATAAGTATGTAGTGTTGATGTCTTTCTGCTCAGGGTTCAGAGCAAAAAATAAAAATGAGACAACTACACCCTATACATAATTTCCTTTCCAACATAAAAGTTTTATAAAAAAGAAAATGCAAATAAACACAGCTGCTGTAATAGCAGTGAAACAACAAACTACGTGTAATACAGTTTGACTAGGGGTGCAACAATACATGTACCTGTATTGAACCGTTTCAATACAGTGCTTTAGGTTCAATACACACTTTTATGGAACAATACCGATTTTTATCAGCTTGTCTTCTGAAGATGCTGTGTTGAAGGATCAGTGGATCTGTGTTCGATTTCTGCACCTGGGCTGCATTTTCGAGCACAGATCCACTGAGAAACTTGCTGTTTCAGCAACATTTAATTTAAAAACTGTATTTTGAGGTTAAACAAATGTTCATAATTAATTTAAATAAATTACAAGTTCAAGTTCAAAAGGTCATGGTATTTTCTCTTTTTTTGTATCTAAAAGATATCGATCCAAATAAAGTATTGAACCGAACCAAGTCATGAATTTTCTGTATCGTCGCTCCTCTGACTTCCAAACATTATCCCAAAATTTTCTAAATACTGAAAAATGCCCCTTTTTAATATCAGGTTTTTTAATAAATCATAAAAACATCTAAAACAAAGTTAAATACTTTAAAATAAAAGTTAGCATAACTTAAATCCTTGTCATTTTTGTTCATCAGACTGATGAAGCCCTCTCAGCTCACTGATGYATGGGCATCGTGTCCTTAGCCAAATAAGATGCAATGGCCTTTGTTATTTCTTTGTATCGCTTTGATGTTTTCTCATGAGGATTTCCATGTTCAAAACTCTGATACACAGCCGTCTGCAGTACTGTTGTGCTCTTACTTCTCCTAACGTTTGCAACTTTGGTTTAGCTAGCATGAGCGTTTTAGAACTCTTCAGAGAGSTCTTTATGTATTGAAGGTGACATTGGASRTTAGTCATGTTTCCTCTCGTGGTTTTCACTAGGGGTGTAACAATACATCGATCTATGTCRATATATCTRTTTGAATGGTTCATGATTCAGTTATATCAAGGCAAAATGAAAATATCGATCTATTGCCATCATATGCTCAATGGGAATCAATATCTGCCCACCTAACAGTCATTGTGTTAGATGGGCATATGATATCACATATCAATCGCAGACGTGAATTGAATTGAATCAAAATTGTATCATGATTGACTTTGTGATATTGAGAAATGTCGAATCGTCATCCAAACATTTCGATGTAATATCGTATCATGATAAAGCTGGTGATTTACACCCCTAGTTGTCACTAGTGTTTGTTGATCTTGCATAGTACGTGTTTGTAGAACGTAGTCTCTCTTAAAACCAAAATGTCTCCAAAGAGGAGACGTCCTGTTATTTTTTTGTTTTTGGTTTTTTTCAACCAGGAGCTACCATTTTTCTCACTTACGTTACTCTCAGCCATTGTGACTCTCACTAAAAGTTTGCTCAGTTGTTGGCCTCTAACGTAAAGAGATCCACCCAACTGGCCAAACACGTGAAGGGCTGAGTTTGATAGGTCAAGAACTTCAAGCTTCCGTGTGATGGATGAACCATTTATTACTGTTTAAACAGT